TTTGTTGTGTAAAATCAAGTAATCAACACAATATCTGACGATCACTGAAATATAGAGCAGCAAATTTGACAAACCGAAGTACTTAGCTTTATGTAAAAATTGTGATCCTTTCGAGCATTTATTTTGTAGGTTTGCAAGTAGGAGTGGCAATTGAGTTGAGTGGGTTTGATTTTCTACCCTAGTTCGGTCCTTTGGATCATGGGCTGAGATGAGCGCACAACTCAGTTCCTTTTTAAATAGAAATTAATAAAAAAAAAAAAATTGAATTTTCGTCTTTTTTCAGGTTTGGGATATGCTCTACTTTTCTTATAGACAAGTTAAAATTTTATATTGTTACATAATTTTTTTTTCTAGAAGTTGAAATTTAAAATTTTAATTTTAATTTAAATCAAAGTTAAAAATTAATTTTAATAACATATTTCATGAATTCCATAACTATTTAACTTTTATCAAAATTTACTAAAAATTTGATTTTAATCTCTATCAAATAGAGGGAAAATCACAAATAAATTTTAATTTTTTTTCTCTCGTCTTTTAACAAAATCTCAACTCTCCATCAAACAAGAGCGAAATATCGCATTCTTAATACCATTTCGAAGTGTTCGCGATCCAATTTTCTACGTCGTTAATGGCGTATGAAACGATCAATTTTAGTAAATGATACGATGTGTCAAAGTAAGCCGTTCAAAAATAGTATTTCGAAAATTTTGATAATANAGAAAGGCATCCAACTCACATTTTCTTTAAAAAAATTCAACTATTTCATTAACATTTATTATTTTTGCAATACAAATTTCTCAATATAATTTTCATCATTTTATTAGGAAATTTTATATGGAATATGACATAATTTTTTTTTGAAATTTTATATCTAAAAAAGTCATATTCCACGTAAATTTTCGGATACAAAATTACATGGATATGATTTTTTTGGACATAAATTTTTTATTGTAAAAATTCTTCCAATTTTTTTACAAATTCAATTATGCCCCCCTAACTTTTAAGTTTTACGTCCGCCCTTACTATTAATGCAACATTTAATATATAAAATATATTTTCACGAAATTACATCTTTAAACTGGTTTTACCTCTCGATATGCACATTCTAATCGGACTTTTTAGGTTGATTATTGGCTCGACTTACCAAAAAATTCTAAAATTTCGTTATTACTTTATAATTTATATGTTTCCTCTTTCAAGTTATTTCTTTTGAGTCTTTGACATTGAAAGAAATATCTTCATATAGTCACTTTTTAGAATTTTTTGTGAGGTCAAGAACACAATCAATTTGTTTTAGTTAGGTCTCGATTCATATTTAGAGAGAGAACTTGTTGAACTCACATTTGTTATTAACTCACAAAAGAAATAGGTACTATAATTGGACAAAAATAGAACTCAAATAAGTAAATTTAGAAACAAACCAACTACATAATGGAAGAGTTATGATGAACATTATAACAATTGTAAATTGAGAAGGTAGAAATTTGGGAAGAAAATTGAAGTGAAATGGACGTTTATATACAAGAAAAAATAGAGACCAATTGAAAATAAAAAAAATTAAAATTGGACCTAAGATAGTCACAAATATGACCGTTTAGCTACCAACGGTCAAACCAAAAAGATATTTGTGACGTCCCTTTGGGGGTGGCCTAGTTGTTGGAGCAGGTGAACGCGGAGACCAAAGGTCACGAGTTCGAATCTCCTGTTAGCACTTCCTCGATAGAGTCGTCACACTGGCTTGTCGAGTACGGTTTACCTCTTCTGTGTGATTTGCGGGCTACTGCACATGGAGCGAGTTTTACTTAATGCGCACTCATAGTGGTTGGGCCTCCATCCCTTCGAGGTGGTCGGGGCTCCGCTAGCTAGTAGCGGATGCGGGTTCCTACTTCAAAAAAAAAAAAAGATATTTGTGACCCACGAGTCGAACAGGACAAAAAATTGTGACTCAGCACATGGCTCGTTTAAAGTTGTGGGTCAAGTTAGATCGAATTGAACCCCAAGCAATTTGACATGTCTACTGGTGGCAATCGAACCGAGCGGCTCGTAGGCTCGACCGCTTGGCTAGTACTGTAGAGTTCCACGAGCCGCTTGGGCTCATCAAAACATGAGCCTGAGCAAGAGTCGAGCGGGCTGGCTTGTACTATTCACGAGCTGCTCGACTCGTGGGCCCGTCAAATTAAAAAAAAAATTAAAATGTGTGATCGGAACGGCCACTGAATTTTTCAATGACCGGAACGGTCACTGTTTTTTATTATTTTTTTTCTTAGTTTCTTCTTATATAAATACCCACTCATTACACAATTTT